TGATCCCTTTAAAAAATGTATGGAATCAAATACCTTTAAATTGATGTGCATATAATTAATTACTTTGAACACATTTTCTGTCCATCTCTATTTAAATAAAAAAGAAAGAAAAACAAACAATTATATAATACATTACCGAGTAGTTTTATTTTGTTGTTTCCGTATTTTTTTTTTTATACCACCGGTATGATTTATCCGAATAATATTACTTACAAACACAGAATGACATGTTGATCCATCAATATCAATAATTAAAATAAAATGACTTCCGAATGAATCCTACACGTTTTTCACACGATTCTTGCACGAAAGTCGCACGTTTCTCACACGGTTCTTACACGAAAGTCGCACGTTTCTCACACGGTTCTTACGCGAAGTCGCGCGTTTGTCACACGCTTCTCGCACGCTCGCTACACAGTTTGCAAGAAACGCTTTGGAGCTTACACGAAACGCTGCACGGTTTACACGAAACGCTACACGGTTTGCACAAAACGCTGCACGGTTTACACGAAACGCTATACGGTTTGCACGAAACAAAAAGCGCACGAAAGTCACACGCTTTTTTGGGGTAGTAGCACGATTCAGGGTCTGTACGTATAGTAGAGCTCAATAAATTCATCAAAATCATCAGTGCTTGACAATTTCATCTTTCTATAACATTAAATGTATTTAAAAAGAACTAGCTATATATATTTGACGTTTGTGTACATCAACAGCCTGTCGCACTTCCATGCTGAAATGGATACTTTTTGCGCCTCCATCATTGGAGAGTTACAATCTCGAAACTTGTATTCTTACAGATTAATATAGAAGAACAGAAGACCTTTTTGTTGCCATGAGTCTAGTTATGTGGCCCCGAACGAAGTCGGGCGACACATTGCTATTGTACGCCTAAAAACTGTGTCCGGAGATTTTCTCGCAGTTGGCTGGGACAATCTTCCTGAAACTTTCCACAAAAGACGATCACTAGTTTTACTTCTGCAGTGCATACTTTCAGTTTCAAAATGGCTACCGTTGCCATGAAAACGTAAAGAAGTGAGGAATTTTGTCCTGGAGAATTTCTCACTGGCCCCTTGAGTATTCATAAATAAAACTTTACAGAAATGATGATCAGTAATTGTAGTTGTGCGATTCACATTTAAAATTTTCAAATTGTCAATTGTTGCCATGGGAACAGGGGGCAAGAGAAATTCCTTAACTTCGATTTTCTCAGTAACTGCCTAAGCAATCATTTTGAAACTTAAATGAATGATTCCTTGCATTGTGTCAAAGTGATTTCTATTTTTTTTTTTTTTTTTTTTTTTTTTTTTTTTTTTTTTTTTTTTTGATCTGGAATTGGCTACACAAAGTTACCACAGAAACAAAACAGAAAAAAGGTATTATGCTCACATACCTTCTTAGAGGTGGCTTGGGCAATCTTGATGAAACTTTACAGAAATTTAAATTAGAAGTCGTATTGTGGTTCACCTTAGCTTTGTACTTGAGTGTTCTCGTAGATGGTTTTCAAAAGCTTCTTGAAACTTTACAGAAATAAAACTCACCAACCCTAGTTGTGCATACAATACTTCATTTTTTCAAAGTTTGTCGCTGTAGCCAGGTAAGGAACAAAGGATTTAAGAAAAGTCGCGGTCACTTGACCATTGTATACTATCAGAATGAAATATATGGAGATAACGAACAGTATTCAAGCTCAAAAGTCCATTAAACATTGCAAAATAGGTGCAGAGCAAACAAGGACCTCCAAAACATCAGAGGTGGGATCAGGTGCCATGGAGGAGTGAGCATCCCCTGCCGACCGGTCACACCCGCCGTGTGTTCCTTGTCGGGAAATAACGGGAAAATCCGTCGACAATTCAGTGTTTAAATAAAGGCCTAACAATTAGTATGAAAAACGTCAGTCAGCATTTGACTCAATGATAAAGAAGAAGGTACGGTTTTAGCTTTATTGTGTCCTAAAAATTTAATGTTTTCAAAAACTTTCGAAACTGGCTTAAATATTAGTTGAATATATGACTGTGATGAATCAGGAAAGAATATGGCATGAAGGAGTGCCAATCTGGAAATATGAAGTCATTAATTTGATGCATTTCTCTATTTTAAACAGAAAAAGCCTCAAAATGACCCATTTCAAGAGTTATTTTTCTTAAGAAAATAGTGTCCACAGCCGTCGCCCACTTCAATTTTTTGATATGTTGTGTAAAATTCTTTGAAAAATCACATATCTCAAAATCTTTGTGGGCGATGCCTGTGGACAATATTTTCTGAAAGAAAATTCCATTGAAAATTGGTGTCTTCTGCAACTTTTTCAGAAAATACGGGAAAATGCACAAGTTTATGACGTCACAATCAGCATTTAGAAGGTCATGTGAGAAAAATGATTTGTATGATCTTTCTGCATGGAATTTCAATGATTCAGAGAGTACGAGTTTTAATTTTTTACATCACTTTTATTTTTAAGAAAAACACAGGGCAAGATTTGTATTGAAACCGTACCTTGTTCTTATATTTGCTGACAAGGTCATTGTATCGACCAAAGAACTAACGAAATGATGATTTTAAACGGGACTGCTGATATTCTTCATTCATCAACTTGTTTGTCAATAATTTACCTCGTTTTAAAAATTGTGCATAAGTAGAGCATGATCTTGCGTATCGAATCAACTGAGAGATATAAACCCCGTTTGCAGGTGATGAAGGTATATTGCTGCATAAGTAAGGAAAGTTGACAATTGAAAAGTTAAAGTCATCACGTTTATCATAAAGCTTGGTTGTTAGATTACCATTAACGTCTTTATCAAGTAAAATATCCAAATATGAAAGTTCCTTTTGAAAAAAATCATTTTTTCCACTTTTTTCTCCGACATTTTTACATTTCATTACATTTCATTTCTACAAATTATTCATTTTATTTTCATTGATGTAGTTAACGTAGACTCTACTGAAGTAATACACATAGTATGAAGTGTAGATGTATGACTTCTCTGGTGAATGAGAAGGCACGGAAAACCTTCATATTGTCATAGCAATTAGGTTCTATTAAATAAAAAGGATTGTATATGGTATATATCTTGTGAGCGCAATTCAATTGACGTTCTTTCAAATAAAGAAGACATTGACATATATTATCCCCTCCCCCTTTTTTCCTCTCTGTCATTTTTCTTTAACTGTTAACAAATGAATTTTTGTTTAATGTCTTGAATTCTAAATAAAATGACCTTTACCTTCATATTACAAACAACCCTTCATCATAAAGTTTTCAAAATACTAAGGCTTCATAATTACTACTAAATGATGGTTAATTAACATGTCTATTTTCAAGACACCCCCCCCCCCTTCGAAACTGCGAGGTAGAATATGCAGATATAATTGATTGTGAAGATCTTAAGGGTTTCATGAAAAAAATTCAGTGCAGCTGATGTGATCTGATATTTTACCAGCATTCATTCTTCTTCTGTTTTTTCTCTAGAGTTTATAATTATTATATTTAGTACATGTATTTTTTTAAGTAGCGATCGTCAGCTGAATTCATTAGTATTTTGCGTTTTCTTTTGAATGTATTACTTGCATGTGAATAATTTCATTCAATGATATTTCGAATTGTTGAAACTTAATTTCCATCATTTTTATTAATCGAAAATCCTTGGGTCCGCTCCCGCAGGTGGGTAACTATAGATAAAACAATCAGCACGCCGGAAATGTTCATGATTCTGCTAAACAAAGAAAGGTTACACATAATCTTTAGAAAATCAGCCCCTGACCAATGCGGAAATGTCCGAATTGAAGAGGAAAATTCATGAATTATTTTGCTTCAGCCATATTTTGACCTGAACCTTGAACGACTTTGCAAGTCACTCGACTTTCGCTTCCCTTAACTTTGTTTCGACCAAAGCTAGCAAGCGTAACTTGTTTCGCTTGTGTGTGAAAGTGTATGTTGGGGGTGGGGGGGTCTACGAATACCCACTTCTTTAAGCATTGAACAATATTAAAGCTTATAATTTAGTTCGGGGTGACATAAGCTATTGCTTGTAGATGCGCTTGTTGAAGGTCATTTTGCGCCCACATGCATGCACGTGCCTGCGCGTGCGATGTTTGAAATGACTTATACAGTTTATATAGCCTTAACTTTTATATTTTTTTGATAAATGCTTTGAAACTGAAAATATATAAAGACATTTTAGTAGTGTAGACAAGATGACATGGTCAAATAAGCTTAAATTCACGCGCATGCACGTGTCCTTTGCTCTGATTGGCTGAAACAAAAATATCATTATCTTTCTTTTTTTTATGAAATACTTTGAAATTTAAACATAGTCCTACATAAGGAGGTTCTACAATATCATACATGTATATATGATATCTCGTGAAAACACAATCATGCACGTGTGCTGCAATTTGATTAGCTTAAATTTCATATGGCCTTAACTTTCTTAGTTTTTAACAAAACAGAATAAAATTTAGAACATAGATAGGTATAATTGGTTCTTACATTATGCAGCTATCAAAAATAAATGCAAGAACATGCATGCACTTGTGTTGGATTCTGATTGGCTAATACAGATAAGGCTGTATCTCTCATAGTTTTCAATGAAAATCTTTGAGATTTCACACATAGGTATTTATTGTGAGCCTCTTTACGACTAAGACATGTGAAGTACCTAGAAAACATGGGCATGTACATGCGCTGAAATTTGATTGGCTTATACTCAATGGACTGTAACGGCATTGTTTTTCGATAATATACTCATGAAACAAAGTCTCAAAAGAATTGATTACATTATTGAAGCTTGTGGGGAATGAGGCCCATAGAAGATTGGCGTTTTGGGGAACATCTGTAACGGTTCCCGTTACAATTAGCACTAGTTATATTTTTGATTTATTACATTACAAGTTACGATCATGAAAAAAGTATATATTTACCTTAGGAATAATTAACATATTCGAACAATCTCGTATATTTACTTTTTCAATACCTAATACACTCTTACAATTACGTATTGAAGGAAATGACGTCATTCATCAACTAACCAGGGGGAAAAACTCATCCCTTTACGTCTCTATTACATTACAAAATGGCACAACTTTGTACGAACTTTATCATCAGTTTTCTGTGTCTGATGAATCAGACAACTACAGACTGTCTCTTGGGGAGCCTGCTACCGGAACCTTGGGTAAGTAATAGGTAAAATGTGTGACTATCAATACAAAGAAAGTGAGAGAGATAGAGTGTAAGAGAAGAAGAGAAAGAGGGGAAATATTAGTAAAAAAGAGACATGCTTAATGAATAAAAAGGGCTCTGGCAATTTTAATCCATTGTCATGTCTACCACCAGCAAAATGTATGTAACCTCTGTTTCTTATACTTGAATAGATTTTTTGTTCCTCTCAGTTTGTAACAATATTTTTTTTTTTAAATCAGGTCAAAATATTTTCAAGGTGTGTTATTTCAAAATAATGGCACCGCCTTTCTCATTTCCTGTGTAGCTACAAAAAATTCGTATAAATGGTAATTTGGTCTGAGAAAATCATTTATTGCGTTGAAAAAAAGAACAATAATTTAACATATTTCATGCTACAGCAGTTGTTTTTGTAAATGATTTACCTTTTTTTCAAAGATTCTTATAAGCCAATTTCTTTTGTATATGTCACATTCTTCAACATAAAACCATTGCTTTTTCATTATTTAATTCTATTTGGTATCATTAGGCTCAATAAGCTATTGTCAGAGAGCATATATCAAGATTATGTGGATATGTTAGAAATAATTTATAGATCTAGAAAGAGATAAGCGACATTAAAAATTTTGAAATGTTATTATTTACATCATTTTGAAGTATTCATTTTTGTTGACTATTTGACTCAAGATATGGGAATATTGTTTTGAATCGAGCAGTAAAATTAAGTTAAAGAAATATATTTAAAAAAGAATGTGAATGCACCTCATTAATAAATAGAATCTACATAACATATGATATAATGCTATTACATGTACAAAGTTTATGTAACTTATTTGAATCCTGTGTAAGGTATGTACAATTCATTTAAATCATTTCAGAATCTATGTAACTTGTTTGGCATCCTTTATTATGTATAAAAGTCCATTTAAATTATTTCAAAGTTCATGTAACTTATTTAAAATCTTGTCTTGGGTATGTGTAATTCATTTTATCTATTTAAATATTGACAATGAAATGCCTTGAACTGAATTAAGTTTTGAATTTAATTCATTTTTAAATTCTACAGGTGACAGTATGATAGACACTGGTCACCCTAGTTACCACGATCTGTCTGGGATGTACTTTACGACCCGAGACAGAGCCAATGACAGATGGAGTGGTAACTGTGCTGCTCTGTATGGGGGAGGCTGGTGGTTTAGTTTCTGTCACCACGCCTTCCTTAACGGTCCCTGGTTCCCGGCAAACTGGGGCAATCCATGGTATCCAACAGTAGAGAATGGGTCAACTATTCGGGAAACAATGATGTTAATTAGACGTCACTAGGTATACATCTTTCATTCCCATTATAAATTTCTACGTTTTTGCTAATGTTTTATAATCTGAAATCGCAGGTATGAGGAGTAGAAAATAAAGTTTTGTTGTTGATTCATATTTTGTATTGGTTTTGTTTTTCTTAAAAGGTGCAGATGAATAATGAAAGGAATTGGATGGATAATACATTAGAATACAATTATAAACCGTAAGGGACATAATAAAGGATAATCCAATGAAATACCATAATTATGAGTCAATGATAACAAATGATCATGAAATGGACATTTTCATTTTTATTACCATTTGTGTTCTATTAAATAAAATTCTTAGTCTGAATAAAATTAGCATCCATGAGAATGGTTATCTTTCTGTGGGCCCTGCTTGACAAAAATATTGAAATTTTATTTCATTATTATTGTCTATTCTACTAGAGTTCTTACAGAGATCAAAGAAGTGCCGCGGACATTATTCTCCAATAAAGCATGAACTTCGGCAAAAAATATCAGATCAGAAACACATATCAAACATGTACAATTGATATAAATATTTGACTTTAGATTCTAATACTGATTTAGACCATTCTATGTGTAGTTTTCCGCAGTCTAAACAGTGTGTATTGCTTTAAAAATGTCGATTTTTGTATAGCTTAAAGGGGCTGTTCCATGGACCTCCTCACAACATTTATACTCCATGATTTTAGTAATAAAGCAATAAAATATAAACTGATTTTGTTATTTTAAATTCATAAACAATTGGCCACATCGCGCACCTGAGCACTGTGGCTAGGGAAAAAGCAGAAATTAGTTCAGTATTAAAGAGTATAAATGCATAAATGGCCCCGACCTACGTGTACCTCTAAAAATGGGTATGATTTGAACGAACTTGAATCAACACTAAGAATGCATACACATTTCTTTGACGAACGGTGCCTTTTTCCTCTATAACTTTCATTGAACTTTCATTAAGGTTCCACCCTACCCCCACCGGGTCATGATTTTATCAAATCTGAATCTATACTACCTGATGATGCTTCTCATAAATATTACCAATCATGACTCTGCTGGTCTTGAGAAGATTTTTTTGAAAAATCTTATGCATAAATTTGCTCACCCAATGTGTTCCCACCCTACCCCCGGGGGTTATGATTTGAACAAACTTGAATCTATACTACCTGAGGATGCTTCAATATAAATATGACCAATCATGACTTTACTATTCTTGAGAAGAAATTTTTTCATAATATACTTCTATGTAAAACTTTAAAACTTTCCTCGTCCATTGTGCAACCCCCACCCCCACCCCCCCCCCCCACCCCCGGGTGTCATGATTTGAACAAACTTGAATTAATACTACTTGAGGATGCTTCAATATAAATATGACCAATCATGGCTTTGCTGTTCATGAGAAGGAGATTTCTCCTATGTATTCCTATGAAACACTTTGATTGTCCGTTTTGGCCCCACCCTACCCCCGGGCGTCATGATTTGAACAAATTGGAATCTTCACTTCCTGAGGATGCTTCCATGGCTTCACTGATCTTGAGAGAAAGATTTTTAAATGTTAAAGATTTCTGCTATTTATTCCTATAAAGTAAAATTGATCGTTGTGGCCCCACCCTCTCTCCGGGGCCCATGATTTGAACAAATTGGAATCTACATTACTAGAGGATGCGTCCATATAAATATGATTAATCATGGCTTTACTGCTCTTGAGGAGTTTTAAAGCTTCGCGGGTATGTTAAGGAAGCATTCAAATCATTTGTCACTATCCGGTCGGGAAAATAATTATTCCACATATTCGCACGAAACCTTATCCAATGTTTTGCATTATATACAAGTAACCCGAGATATTTCTTCAAACCATGTTTATCTCAGGATTCTAGCAGCACTTTTCAAGTAATATAGAACGTAAGCTTTCGATATGTACAAAACTTATGTTTTGAAGTATCCAGCTTAGTGTTGTTGTTTTTTGGTTTTTTAGCATTATTGTTGTCACGAATAACAGAGGAAAGGCCGACCGGGACACGTAAATAGCTGACTGTCTTCAATAGATGATATAATCGATGAAAATAAATTAGCATACATGTTTAACAAACTTTTACTTAACATGAATAACACAATACTTACAGTATTTGCTTGTAAACCCCCTTTTACGTATTTTTTACATGCCGTTTTAGCCAAATTGTCGTTACACAACATGACCAATTCTCAAGTTACTTGTTGAACAGTTATAACGTCATCGGTCGGAGATTTTGATTGAAATGACAGATACAGCATAACAAAATAGAAACCTTTTATGTGTGTTAATATTTGTCAGTTTCTATTCATTTTCAGGAGTTAAATAATATCTCTAAATAACAATATTAAGAAAACTTGTGTTCTAAAATTGACGTCATATTAAGAGCAATTAACTATTTTGCACTGGTATAAAAATTATTAATCAATTACCATCGAACTCCTCTTTGCATTCAACAAAGATTTTATGGCCAAATTGCCATTAGTATTGAATTAAATGGGTGTAAAATGTAGGCGGGAATCGAGAGTTAGCATGCGTAGTTCTTTTGTCTAATCATATATAATTCTCATTTTATAAACTCACATTGTAATATTTTGGATGGTAAAGGCACTAGTACATCCTTGTATTAATTTTACAGAGAGCTGCAAGACTCAAACAGGCTGTAAAATCCCTCAAGGATGAGGCCTTGCAGGGCATGGAAAAAGACAAGCTTCTGAAAGTGATGACCCCAGAGTATCTGTCATCAGAGGAATCTGAGGTGGATGAAGATGGAGAGTTTAGACATTTTAGTGTCAGACGTCTGCCATGGCAGAAGGATTCGTTTCGAGCCTTGAAAGATAAACTTGAGGCAACTCGTGTTAAAAAGCTGACTCCACAGCACAGGAGGCAGATGAAGACGCGCGTCATCCTAGAAATTCCAAAGTTTGTAAAAAATTTTAAATACTGTAATGTTCTCCTTAAATAGTTATTGTTTCCATCCCCTTTGGATACAGATTAAAGCTTTTTAATCGAAGTGAGAAAATTTTGTAAGCGAACATTTTTTTTTAATAAACTAGAGGAAAATTAATTTCATTTGTTTGAAAAATGTACCAGCCAAGTAATTTCTCACTGCCTATTTATTAATTCATGTACACTACATTTACTATTATGAAAATATTTTCTTGAAATAATTTAGTATCCGAGGGGTTGATTTGATTTTCTTTGTTTTACCTATCGCCATTAAGTTATTTATCTCAGATTATTTATGAAGTATTTAACTTTATTTATTCTTTAAAATAATTATTTCTATTTTGGAATGAGTGTATTCTAATCGTGATTTTAATAGTAGCTAATACATGTATTTATGTATGTGTAAGGAAATTGTATTCATGTTTTTTGACAGTGTCAGCCCAAACACACATTTAAGTGTGGATTAAAAGTGATTGAGAAAAAATCTAATTGCGATTAACTGGAGGCCTAGAAAAAAAATATGGATGCTTGTTTTGCCTGCTTAATTGACCCTTCTTTATAGTGCCAATCCTAATTCTTACATTTTTGAAATAACTCCTTCTTTCTGTGCAAATCGAAAATGTTCAGTTTTTGGACCCATGCATTTTCTGTTGATTTGTTTAAGTAGTTGCAATGCTGAAAAGCACTATTTTTTGTTCACATTGTTACGTTTTTGCAAAAAGACGTCCAGAAGAAATGCATTCCTACCTACCTTTTTTTTATGCATGAAGACAAACATATTTTTATTCTAGGCCTTACAGGACCTATGATAATACAGCTGAACACTTTAAATAGATATAATTTTACTGATGCAGTCATCTGTATGTGATTCATTTATAATGAAAATTGTTATTTAACATTGAGGTATATGAATATTATTGTGAAATTTTATTTAATCAATGTAGTTTTGTACATGAATCTGTAATTCCAATTTTGATATTGTTTACGAAACCTTATTTGTGCATGTGATTTCAATAGTTGCATTTGATGTAGGCCTAGTACTTGAGTCATACTGTGCTTGAATTTTATGACATTAATTTCTCTTGATAAATACACTATAATTATCCTAGAGAAGAGATGTCTTATATATCCTTGTATACACTTCCAAGCAAATACATGCAAAATAAATTTAAAAAATACTGAATCAATGTGTATCAATATGAGGTTATGTAACATTCACAAATAAGCAATAAAGAAGTGTCAAATGACAAACTGGAAGAAATTTTTTTTACCCAAAATGTGTAATTCATAGTGCATTGATATTGAATGGTTAGAAATCATATAACTGAATTGACAGTGAAAATAAATTGTATTTTCTGATATGTGACAACTAAACATTTGTTTAATTTTCACTTAAAATTGATTGATCACTGAAATATGAGTAATCGGACATTGAAAGCTGAATTAGTTGTTACTTAAGAATGCTGAATGGTCACTGAAATATGATAGAATGACCACTGAAATAAAACTAAAAAGTCTCTGATAGCTGACTGAATGGTCGCTTAAATATGATGGAATGGTCACTGAAATATGACTGATGGGTCACTGAAAAAAGACAGATTGGTTGCTGAAATGTGACTGAAAGGTCACTGAAATAAGACTGAAGGGTCACTGAAATTTGATGGAATTGTCACTGAACGGTAAATGAAAGGTCAATGAAATATAAATGAATGGTCACTGACATCTGGCGGAATGGTCACTGAAATATGACAGAATGGTAAATGAAAGGTCACTGAAATATGACAGAATGGTAAATGAAAGGTCACTGAAAAATGACGGAATTGTCACTGAAATATGAATGAATGGTCACTGAAAGATGGCAGAATGGTCACTGAAATATGACAGAATGGTCCCTGAAATATAAATGAAAGGTCACTGAAATATGGCGGAATGGTGACTGAAATAAGGCAGAATGGTCACTGAATGGTAAATGAAAGGTCGCTGAAATATGACGGAATTGTCACTGAAATATAAATGAAAGGTCACTGAAATATGGCGGAATGGTGACTGAAATGAGGCAGAATGGTCACTGAATGGTAAATGAAAGGTCACTGAAATATGATGGAATGGTCACTGAAAGGTCACTGAAATATGACGGAATGGTCACTGAATGATAACTGAAAGGTCACTGATATGTTTCTGCCATTCAGTTGACTTAATGACAACTGAAATGCTTCTGAATGTCAACTGAAAACTACCTTGTCAGTTACCATTCCGTTGTCAATCAGTTACCATTCAGTTATCATTCAGTCCACTGAAAGGCCAGATTTCATCCTGTGTGCATCACTGATTTAGTCAAGTCAGTCTATCTTAGTGCTTCCTTAACACACCTGCGTTTTTCCTGTATAAATTCCTATGAAAAACTTCGATTGTCCATTATATCCCCACCCTATTCCCAGGGGTCATGATTTGAACAAACTGGAACTAAACTACCTGAGGATGCTTCTATATAAATATGACCAATCATATGATATTCCCAATAAAAAAAAAATAGGTAGCAATATAAATCATATACGGTACAAATTTTGATGTACTAGATGCGCATTTCGGCAAATTATGTCTCGTCAGTGATGCTCATGCCGAAACGTTGGAAATCTAAAATATTTAAATAAAAAATACTTTGAAGAGCTGAGAAAGGTGCCAAAGACTGCAGCCAAATACGTCGAAGGATCAAAGCTATGCATGAGGGAGATAATCTTTAATATTGAAACAAATTTTTAATTTAACCGCAGCAATTAAGGTCTTTCGTCTCCATCGGAAGACCTTATTGTTTTCGTCCTGTTTCTTTTTCCCTATTTTTATGTCGCCCCGAACGAAGTCGGGCGACATATTGCTATTGTACGCCTAAAAACTGTCTCCGGGGATTTTCTCGCAGATAGCTGAGACAATCTTCCTGAAACTTTTCACAAAAGACGATCACTAGTTGTACTAGTGCAGTGCAGACTTTCAGTTTCAAAATGCATTTAAAATTCTCAAATTATCAATAATTGCCATTGGAAACAGAGGAAAAGTAAAAATTCTTTAACTTCGGTTTTCTCAGTAACTGCTCAAGCAATCATTTTGAAACTTTATTTTTTCATATTCATTCTGGCCCATTTTGGTCCCTTATTACGCAACATATGATCTCAATTTCATAATATATATTGGCAAATCGTTAAGATGAACATTTTTGCTTCAGTAATGGATAACAAATTATTGATAGTTAAAGAGTTATAGATGAAAGACTTTTGGCCCCTCTGAGCCCTAATTTGAGGGATCATCCCCTTTTTCTTGATATCAATTGCAAGGTCTTTTGATTTTGAAGACTTTTTGTTCAACACCTATTCAGAGATTTCTTTTCGTTGTGGAGATATGCCGAATGGAAATATTTAGGAGCCACCCCTCCAAGTCCTTAATGGGGCCGTTTGACAAAAATTGAAAGGGTGCATATTGTATAGAACATTATTCTGATCATCTTTTGTTTAGTATTGCTTATCAAAATATTCCCCCTTTTCGAGATATAGAGCGTCAAAGATTTAGCATTCTGGCCCCTTTTGGCCCCTGATTACGCAACATTTGATCTTAATTTTATATTATATAGTTGCAAATCGTTAAGATAAACATCTTTGCTTCAGTAATGTATTACATATTATTGATCTTTAGAGGTTTATAAAGGAAAGACTTTTGGTCCTTGTGAACCCCTAATTTGAGGGGTCAGCACCTTTTTCTGGATATGAAATAAAAGGTCGTATCATTTTTAACAACTTTCCTCATATAGGTTTTAACAAATTATTAACAGGTATGAAGATATGACAGAAAAGGTGTAAAACTTTGTGAGATGTTTCTGAGACATTTTTTGAGCCCTACCGAGCTTCGGCGCATTTTGCGCTAGACAGATTTGGACACCCAACTGCAAATGTACAAATCTTCCCCTACCTTCATTGAAAATCTTGACACAATATCTTAACTCGTTTTGGAGGAGTTTTCAGGACAAGCCGACCCTCTAAAAATCAGAAAATCCTCAATTTATCAAGATGGAAAGTGACGTCATCAACGAAAAAATTTTCAATAAGGTTCAGAACAATACCTATCAGATCTGAAAGTTTCATGAAAATTGGCCAAGTCGTTATCGAGAACTCGCGTGCACAAGATCGGTAAGAATATTAATAATAATAATAACTAGATGAGATCTCGTTGCAAGCAACGAGTAGGTCTTCCGTCAGATTTTTCGATGAAATGAGATATGATTTCGATTAAGTTATCCTTAAAAGATAATGATATAAAGATTTCACTCCTTAGATTTCATTTAATTGATTTATGTAGCATAATCTTGAACATCTTTTATTCAATATTGTTTTTCAAAATGTTTCCCTTTCTCGAGATATGAAGTGTAAAAGATTTAACATTCTGGACACTTATGGCCCCTAATTACGCAAAAGAGAATAACAATTTTACAACATATTGTTGCATATTGTTACGTTAAGCATTTTTTGCTTCAGTATTTTATAACAAATTCTTGATCATTGAAGAGTTACATAGTCTACATAGTCTTTTGGCCCATCTGAGCCCCTATTTTGAAGGGTTAGCCCCTTTTTCTTGATACCAAATGAAAAGACTAGTGATCTTAAACATTTTATGCTCAACAACTAATCAGAAGTTTCTTCTCGTTTTCGAGATATGGAGAAAAGAAATATAAAGGGCCCAGTCCTTCAAGTCCTTAATGGGTCCGTTTGACAAAAATTGAAAGGATGCATATTGTTCATAACATTATTCTGAACATCTTTTGTTCAATATTGCTTATCAAAATATCTCCCCTTGTTAAAATATACAGTCGAAGATTTAGCATTCTGGACCCTTTTGGCCCCTTATCACGCAACATATGATCTTAATTTTATAATTTATAGTGGCAAATCCTTAAGATGAGCAGTTCTGCTTCAGCAATTGTTAACAGAATATTGATAGTTAAAGAGTTATAGATGAAAGACTTTTAGCCCCTCTGGGCCCCTAATTTGAGGGGTCAACCCCTTTTTCTTGATATCAAATGAAAGGTCTTTTGATTTTGAAGACTTTTTGTTCAACATCTTTTAAGAGATTTCTTTTTGTTCTGAAGATATGCCGAATGGAAATATTTAGGGGACATCCCTCCAAGTTCTTAATGGGGCCGTTTGACAAAAATTAAAAGGGTGCATATTATTCAGAACATTATTCTGACCATCTTTTGTTCAGTATTGCTTA